TGTGTTTGTGTGTGTGTGTTTGTGTGTTTGTGTGTTTGTGTGTTTGTGTGTTTGTGTGTTTGTGTGTTTGTGTGTTTGTGTGAGTTTGTGTGTTTGTGTGTGTTTGTGTGTTTGTGTGTTTGTGTGTTTGTGTGTTTGTGTGTTTGTGTGTTTGTGTGTTTGTGTGTTTGTGTGTTTGTGTGTTTGTGTGTGTGTGTTTGTGTTTGTGTGTTTGTGTGTTTGTGTGTTTGTGTGTTTGTGTGTTTGTGTGTTTGTGTGTTTTGTGTGTTTGTGTGTTTGTGTGTTTGTGTGTTTGTTGTGTTTGTGTGTTTGTGTGTTTGTGTGTTTGTGTGTTTGTGTGTTTGTGTGTTTGTGTGTTTGTGTGTTTGTGTGTTTGTGTGTTTGTGTGTTTGTGTGTTTGCGTTTGTTTGCTTGCTTGCTTGCCTGCTTGCTCGTTTTTGTTTTGATTTGTTTTTGTTTGTTTGTTTGTTTGTTTTTGCTTGTTTTTGTTTGGTTGTTTGCATTTGTCTGCGCTCGCTTGGTTGATTGATTGCTTGTTTGCTTGTTTGCTCGTTTGCTTGCTTGCTTGTTGTTTTTTGTTGGGTTGTTGTTTCTTTATGTCTTTCGGTCTTTCTGTATTTCTTCCTTCATTTGTTTTTCTTTCTTTTTTTTCTTTCACTTCTTTCCTTTCTTTCCTTTCTTTCTGTTTGTTCTTTTCTTAATTTGCTTCTTTTCCCTTCAGCTATTGTTTTTCCATATTTCCGTTTCTTCCTTTTGTTTCCTTTCTTTTCTTCCTTTGTATATGCATTCCTTTCTTTCTCTTTTTTGTATTTCTTTCGTTATTTCGTTGTTTTCTTTCTTTCTTCCTTCCTTTCTTTCTTTCTTTCTTGCTTTCTTTATTTCTTCCTTCTTTCCTTCTCTTTCTTTCTTACCTTCCCACACCAAAGAAACAAAGCAACAAAGAAAGAAACCAAGAACGAAAGAAGGGTGGCTGGGTGGGGGGATATGTGTAAATGTGTAAGTGCGTAGATGCGTAGATGTGGAAATGTGTAAACGTGCACATGTGTAAATGCGTAAATGTTAATGCGAATACGTGTAAATGCGCGTGAAGGGATGTCTGTGTGCGCGCGCGTTTTCTTGGTGATGCAAGCCTCTGGTGATGTAGAAAGTGCTACGGTGCTAGTTTTGGCATCAATTCTGGATGATTGTTGGGGAAAAGCCTGGAAATGCAGGCCTAAAGGACAAAAGGTGGTACTGGGCGGAAGAAAGCTGAAAGGAAACAGGATAAAACAGAAAAAACATGGAAATCTTATGAAACCATGTCTTGCCACCTGTACCGTGCGAAAAAAACAAAAACAAATACGCCCGAACCCCCCCAGGCCGCGATCCGATCGCTAATCTGATGTGACAGCCAGCTCTGGTGGGGTGAAGCCCGAGATGCGATCCTGGAAAGGATCTTTTTCTCATGACACCTGGCCGTGGGTCAAAAAAAGAACCCACCAAGACCTGCGGTCCACATCCCCGTGGTTTCATTTGACCCATCTCCTGAGGCGGTCCATGTTCTCCGCGACGCGCTCGGCAGCCCCCGGCCGCCGCAGGGGGCGCAGCTGCGGCACGCTGGGCAACTCCTGGCTGTGGGTCAAAAAAAATGTACAACAATGGCAACTCGCTAAATGGAGAAACTGATAGTCAAACCTGCGTAAGCCTGGGTCTTTAATTTTAGGCCACACCCACTCCTGGGCGCCGTAGAGGAGGTAAAAGACGCGGAGCCAGGCCTCCCGCTGCGCCAAGGGCACCTGAGTCACTTGCTCAAAACAGTTTTCCGTTTTGGTTTCCCCTTCAAGCTAAGTGACAAATGGGTGACTTGCTCAAAACCGCTCGGTATTAAAATGGTAATTCCAGAACCATGCTTAAAGGATTTTTTGAAGGCGGAGATCCGCAGCTATTAAGGGCAAGGGGATTGTCCCTAAGCTTCATCTACCCGATTCGGTTTTGAGCACGTGGCTCACCTTGGAGCTCAGCGCCGCGTCCAGCACCTCCGCCCACTGCAGGGCCTTGCCATCGCCGGCCGCGGCTCCCGCTTGAAGGAGTTGGGAAATCTCGCTCAAGCCGTCGTTGTAGCTCGTCATCGCCCGATCTGCAGAAGGAGCAGCATCGGAATTGCTCTCTCCCTTGCCTCTGCGTTTTGCAGTGGCAGACTTTACCATTGGCTTACGCCTGCTGGCACTTGAGCCATGGTGTCTACGGTGTGGCCATGCGTCTGACTTGCTGCAAAACCAAACGCAACTCTTCTGGCCTGCTGTTTTGCTGGATCACCGCAGCCGATCGCTCTGCCTGCAACTTTGCTCACGGACTGACGCTTCAAACCTGCGCAACCTGCAGGACCAACTTCTTGTCCACCGGAGGTTCTCGAAACGGCCTTAGCACCATGCATTGTGCCGCTGTGCAGCTGCTGGCAGCCGCACAAACGCCTCGTCAGGCTCGTAAGGCTCTCTAGCTGAGGCTTCCTGGGAGGCGGAATGCGAAAACGCGCCCTTTCAATGCGAAATCTGCCGCTTCTTGGCTCAATCTTTCCATTCTCAAATCGGTTGACAGTACTTGTGGCTTCACACGATTTGAGGAAAATCCGGCCTGAGCGAGGCGAAGGATGCAGGACAGGTTGCTCGGAAATCCATTCCTCCACAGTGTCCGGCATCCGAAATCAGAATGCAAGCCTACCATTTGGCTCGTCTTTGAGGCTACCCCTCTCTTTGTGTTTATTCCGAGGAAAAGGAAAACTCGCATTTTGGGAGTCCCCAGTCCCCAGTGCCAGGAAGTTGGAGACCCGCGAATTCGATTCGCCTGAGCCCGGAGAGTGTGAAAAGCCTCAGATGCCAATTCTGACTCTCTGACTCTATGAATCTGCCCCATCCGGCTCTCCTTCCATTTCAAAACCATCCAAAAGAGGGTCCTCGAAAAAGGACATGCGCCAGAAGAGGGTCCCTTGCAGCAAAGGGGCCTTGCAAGGACGTCGACGGGCGTGATTGCTTTGACTGCTTGCCCCATTGCTGGACATGGAACTGCAGGGAAGGCGTTCCAATGCGCGGCAACATTGCAGCCAACCGCACCTCGCAAAAGAGGAAAGGCAATGAGAGCTCAAGATCAAAGAGCCCAGCATCTGCATTCAAAATACATCGCACCTCCGTCGACACCTCTGTCAGCACCGGCATCTTGCTCGCCTCTGCCAGGTTCTCTGTGGGTACTTCCGAACAGGCCTCATCCTGGCCACATCCAGCTGCTGGTATTCAAACGTGCTCTCAAAGCCTGCATGGGCGTTCCCTCAATCTAACATCGCTCCTCCCATCTCCTCCCCTTGAACCCATCGGCTGTCAAATAGGCGTCCAAAGAGACCAGTTTGGAAGGCCACGTACAAGTATCATGGTCAAGGAAGCAAATCGCTTTGCTTTTTGCTCACGCATTGGCAGAAGACTCAAACTAGGGAGCTCCGCTCCGATTCCTAGCCTTCTCAGCCCTTCTGTCTGATCTCGAAGCCTGATAGTTTGCCACGTGAGATGAGGCTGTAACTCTATGGGCTGAGCGCAGGTCAGAGAGAATCTCCAGAAACCTACGGCAGCAAATGGCAGAAGGTCACTACATGGGAAACGATACTCATGGTCATTTGGTGGCCAGGAATACCGAACCCCCAGATCAACCCGAGTCAGATCAAACAGCTTTTCACTCTCCAGGCCTTCGACTCCTGCACGTTCTCCAATAAAAATTGGTAGATTTGCTCCCGCCTGGTGAAACACACAAAAAAGCCCGAGCAGAATCCGACGCCAGTCCGCCATCCGCAACTTGCTCTTCCTGGAACTTGTTTCTAAAGCCGAAGGCTTTCGGGAAGGCCAGTTTTGGCCTTCAAACGCTTGAGATGCGCGTTTTGTTGAGGTAGCTGCGGGGGGGGGGTGCCTACGGTGGTCAGAATCTGCGTTCCAAGCGCTATCAGGGCTGTCTTGGCGGCATGACTTTTGCTGCTATCTTTGCTGATATCCATGGTGCTTTTCTGGTTTGAGCTATGTTGGATTTGCCTTGTTTGGGATGTTGGCGGGGGCAAGTGTAGTGACGAGCCAAGGAACCGTTAAAATTGAAAGCATGTGTGTGTGTGTGTTTGCCCTCGCTGCGAAACATCCCCAGCATTATTGTGCTTTTAGGAGTCTATATTTCCGGTATTGGAAGGGGGTTGCTGTCATCGCGAAACACTGGTTTTTTGCACGCTGCATCCCCGGCATTGCCTGATCAGCATTCCACACACACCCGCCATCCCTTGTACTCAGCCAATGGTTTGCGTCCGAAGTTAATGAAATTTTGGGCTTGGATATTTAGTCTGGCCTGTAAGCGCTTACATGGCTCCTTTCTGGGACATGTGTTTGGGATAAATGTCACGCATGTATTGAGCTAATTCATCAAAGGAAGTTTAGAAGGAAACTTCCGTAGTACGGAAACAAATTGCAAGGTAGTTTGCGCAGGGTAGGTTTAGAACAGCTTTGGGGTGGCTTCGTGTCTCCATGCCTGTGGCTCAACCATTGCGAGCTCGAAATCTTTTGATACCGGCGGACGAATCTGCCCAAAGGGAAACGAAAGGACGCTGCTTAAAGGGCGATCGATGCGTGGTTATCTCGCCAGGGGTATCCACTTGTTCAAAGGAAGTGTAGTACAGAAACTAGTT